AAACAAATTACACTTGGGGAACTGCCCATGTCAACCCAACTGGATGGGGAAGTGAATTCAGTGAAAATGACTGAAGTTTCAGCAATGGAAAGGATTTCGGCTTATATAGCCGAAAAACAACACAAAGCGGCCCTTGAGGCTGAAGTAAGAAATATGGCTGTCGAAGCCAGCACTCAGGTTGTCGAAGGACAACACCCTCAAGAAAATATTGAGGAGCAACATGCAAATCAGAGTTTTGAAGAAGACTCAAATGGTGAATGGCAGAACCAAAGACTTGATGCCATTTATGATGACGAACCTTTGGGGTTCGAAAAGGATCCAACCTCCACCAATATGAAAATGGTGGCACAGGATCCCTTAGAGGAGATTAATCTAGGACTGGGGGCAGAGAAAAAGCCCACTTACATCAGTGCCAAGTTGAATCCTCAACTCAGAATCGAAATAATCCAGCTGCTGAATGAGTTTAAAGACTGCTTCGCATGGGATTATGACGAAATGCCTGGTTTAGACAGAAGTTTGGTGGAATTGAAGTTGCCAATTCTGGAAGGGAAGAAGCCAATAAAACAGACCCCCAGACGCTTTGCACCTGAAATTCTGTCGAAGATCAAAGAAGAGGTCGAAAGACTTCTAAAATGCAAATTCATCCGTACAACAAGGTATGTCGAATGGATTGCTAATATTGTTCCTGTGATTAAGAAAAATGGCACACTAAGGGTGTGTATTGATTTTAGAGATCTAAACTCAGCCACCCCTAAGGATGAGTATCCTATGCCAGTAGCAGAAATGCTAGTAGATTCTGCAGCAGGCCATGAGTATTTAAGTATGCTTGATGGCTATTCTGGTTATAACCAGATTTTTATTGCTGAAGAAGACGTTCCAAAAACAGCTTTTCGTTGTCCAGGAGCAATAGGAACATATGAATGGGTAGTAATGCCCTTTGGTTTGAAAAATGCTGGAGCTACTTACCAAAGGGCTATGAATTCTATTTTTCACGATTTCATTGAAACGTTTATGCAAATTTATATAGATGACATTGTGATTAAATCTGCTTCAGGCTTCGACCATATTAACCATCTTCGACAGTCCTTTGAAAGGATGAGGAAGTTTGGTTTGAAAATGAATCCTCTTAAATGTGCTTTTGGTGTGCAGGCTGGGGATTTCTTAGGCTTTGTGGTCCACAAAAAGGGGATTGAAATCAATGAAAACAAAGCTAAAGCAATAATGGAAGCAAAAGCGCCATCGACAAAGAAGGAATTGCAGTCTCTACTGGGGAAAATCAACTTCCTCAGAAGATTTATCTCCAACCTTAGTGGAAAGACTCAGGCCTTCTCACCCTTGCTTCGACTGAAGAAAGAGGGTTTCACTTGGGGGCAAGAGCAACAAGCTGCTTTCGACAAGATCAAGGAGTATTTGGCAAATCCCCCAGTCCTAATATCTCCTTGCCGAAAAAGAAGCATGAGGCTCTACATATCAGCATCTGACAGAACATTAGGAAGTATGCTTTGTCAAGAAGATGAACATGGCGTCGAAAGAGCCATTTACTATCTCAGCAGGGTCTTGAATGATGCTGAAACTAGGTATAGCATGATAGAGAAATTATGTTTATGTGTATATTTCTCTTGTATGAAATTAAAGCATTATATAAAACCCGTCGATGTACATATATCTTCTCATTTCGACGTAATAAAGCATATGTTGTCTAAGTCTATTTTACATAGTCGAATTGGAAAATGGGCTTTAGCCTTAACTGAATATTCTTTAAAATATATGCCTCTAAAAGCTGTTAAAGGGCAAGTAGTTGCTGACTTTATAGCTGACCACTCCATACTTGGAGAGGAGACAAATTATGTCGAAAAAGAGCCTTGGAGGTTATATTTTGATGGTTCCAGTCATAAAAATGGAACAGGTGTTGGGGTGTTAATTATTTCTCCCAATAAAGTTCCAACAAAGTTCAAGTACAAAATAGAAGAATTCTGTTCAAACAATGAGGCAGAATATGAAGCCTTAATTGTTGGACTTGAAATCTTGTTGGAACTGGGGGCAACAGAGGTCGAAATAATGGGTGACTCTGAATTGGTGATAAAACAATTGACGAAAGAGTACAAATGTGTCAAAGAAAATTTGATCATGTACTTTGTGATAGCCAACAGACTCCTCAAGAGATTCGACAGTGTAGTTTTTAGACACATCCCCAGATTAGAAAATCAGGAAGCAAATGACTTGGCCCAGCTGGCTTCAGGGTATAAAGTGTCGAAAGAAAATCTGTTGAAGTTTGTCGAAGTGAGAGGAAAAGTTTTATCTACTAAGCTGTCCCCATCTGATTTGGACACAATAAGATTGGGATATGGTGATCAAGAAAACTTTGAGATTTTCAATGTGGGTAATCTAGAGGATGGAGATTGGAGAAAACCCATTAAAGATTATTTGCAAAATCCAAATCAAACAGTCGAAAGGAAGATAAAGTACAGAGCCTTAAGTTATGTGCTCTTTGGAAATGAACTGTTTAAAAAGACTGCAGAAGGAGTTCTACTAAAATGCCTTGGAGAGACTGAAGCGTACATAGCTTTGTCGAATGTACACAGTGGTGCATGTGGTGCCCACCAAGCAGGACATAAAATGAAATGGCTATTATTTCGACAAGGAATGTATTGGCCAACCATGTTGAAAGATTGTGTCGAATTCGCAAAGGGTTGTCAGGAATGTCAAATCCATGCAGGCATACCTCATGTGCCAGCAAGTGAGTTACATTCTATTATAAAGCCTTGGCCATTCAGAGGTTGGGCTTTAGATTTGATTGGTGAGATTCGACCAGCTTCTTCAAAAGGGCAGAAGTACATTTTAGTAGGAGTAGACTATGTCACTAAATGGATTGAAGCCATACCTTTGACAAATGTAGATCAGGAAGCAGTCATAGATTTCATCCAGAAACACATAGTGTATAGATTTGGAATACCAGAGACTATAACCACTGATCAAGGATCTGTGTTTACTGGCAGAAATATGCAAGCATTTGCAAGAGAGACAGGTTTTAAGTTGTTGACTTCGACACCTTATTATGCCCAAGCAAATGGCCAGGTCGAAGCAGCCAACAAAGTGGTGATAAACCTGATAAAGAAACATGTGGGTAAAAAACCCAGAAATTGGCATAAGACCCTGGATCGAATCCTTTGGGCTTGTCGAACCTCTCCTAAGGAAGCAACTAACTCCACCCCATTTAAATTAACCTATGGACATGATGCAGTATTGCCTGTCGAAATCTGTTTACAGTCAATACGAATTCAAAGACATCATGAGATTCCATCTGAAATCTATTGGAGTATGATGATGGATGAATTGGTTGATTTAGACGAAGAAAGGTTGCGTGCTTTAGAATTAATAAGAAGGCAGAAAGAGAGAGTTGAAAAGTTTTATAACAAAAAAGTAAAATTCAAAGCCTTTTTAGTAAATGATTTAGTCTGGAAAGTGATCTTGCCCATGGAGAAGAAAGACAGAGTGATGGGAAAATGGTCCCCTAAGTGGGAAGGACCTTTCAAAATTTTAAGAGTTTTTTCCAATGGTGCATACGAAGTCGAAGAAATAGAAAAAGATAGAAGAGTGATGAAAATAAATGGGAAGTACTTAAAAAAGTATAAACCAACACTGCACGAAATAAAAATAAGAACAAACTAAATTACAAAGGTCACTTCGACAGCAAAAGACATTTCTCCTTTGATAGTCGAAAATATCTTTGCTGGGGGGCAATTTGTAAACCCATAATTTCGACAAGACCATAATTTCGACAAGATTAAAATTCAGGCTTTAAGGTCATCTTTGTCGAAGGATAGCATCAGGAGGAGAATCCAAGAATTGCTGACAAGGTTTTAAAGTTTCATTGTTTCGACAGAAATAGATATAATGTTCTGGCAGAATAGTTTGGAGAGTTTGTGACTGAGGGCTTCGACAGAAGAAGTTTGTTAATAAAAGATAAGGTTTGGCAAGTGCTGAAGAGTTTTTCTCCTTTAAAAGGGTTTCGACAGTTTTGAAGAGTTACAAGGTTTCGTCACCAAGGAAGAGATTCAAATTCAAAGGTTGTAACCTTTGGCAGTTGGACACATGGAGGTTTCAGAGAAGAAATTTACATGCAGGCTGACACTTGTCGTTTAGTTATAGTTTTTCCGTTCTAAGCAGTTATTTTGTTTATGTATAAATAGGATAGTTTGTGGTTAGAATGTGTGTGTGAAAATTTGTACAAAATTCCTGTAAAAGCTCTAAGTACCCAGTGTGAGAGAAAATGAGTCTAGTATTTGGAACAATGTACGTTTAAACACCAGTTATATTTCAAAGTCATTTTAAATTACTTGTTTATTCTTCAAGTCCATGTCATTTTAAATTTCATTTACTTTTTTGCAAGTTTTTAGCCTTTCGACATTTCTTTGTTCTTGTTTAAACTTTTAACCTTATTTCATCTTTAAGTTCAAACTTTCGTTACTTGCAAAATCAAAGTCCTTAATACTTTGACAATATTGATAAAACAAACCGCAAATTAGTCACCAAAAGTCTAAGAGTATTTCGACAGAACCAAATGCACATGTATCCCAGGACTTGTATGGTTGGTCCTGCAAGTAACCCAACTTTCTGAAGAAATTGGTTAACCAGAGGTTGTTCGCCAGAAATCATGTCCATGTCATTTGTGTCCATGTCATTTTAAAAGAAATTGGTGCATACGAAGTCGAAGAAATAGAAAAAGATAGAAGAGTGATGAAAATAAATGGGAAGTACTTAAAAAAGTATAAACCAACACTGCACGAAATAAAAATAAGAACAAACTAAATTACAAAGGTCACTTCGACAGCAAAAGACATTTCTCCTTTGATAGTCGAAAATATCTTTGCTGGGGGGCAATTTGTAAACCCATAATTTCGACAAGACCATAATTTCGACAAGATTAAAATTCAGGCTTTAAGGTCATCTTTGTCGAAGGATAGCATCAGGAGGAGAATCCAAGAATTGCTGACAAGGTTTTAAAGTTTCATTGTTTCGACAGAAAGTCTGAAGAAATTGGTTAACCAGAGGTTGTTCGCCAGAAAACACAGCGAACACAGTGCCACCACATCAGCATCAATCTCTCTAAGAACTTCCAAAATGCTTCTGCTGCTACTAAGCCTCACATTCCCCTCATCACAGTAATCCATATTCGTCATGAAAGGAAAACAAACCGGAGACCTAGCCGGTACTTGACTCCTTCTAGAAGAAACACTTCCAATATTTGCTAATGAAATTTCATTATCAGGTAGATTAATCGAAACCCGCTTCAAATTCGTTCTTGAAACATTCATAGAAGAATGCAATGGTGATTGTTTTAGTATACTCTTTGGAAAATCAACACTTGTTTTAGAGGTAGAATTTTTCTTTTTTTGATTAGACATAACAAAATCATCATCATGTTCTGAAACAGCTGGTGCTAGTGAAAACATTCCGCCGAAGCACTTCAATCGAAGAAGAAGGTGTACAGTCTTTGAGAAGCGAAACTGTTCCGGAGTTGTAGTTCCGCAACGCGTTCTTAACAATGGAGGGAAAATGTACAAGGTATGAAACATTCAAACTTCATACATTCAATCTCTAATTAGCATTTAGTTATCGCCCAAGCCAATTTTTCAAATAATTTATTGCCTTTAATTTAATTTGGAAATGAATATACACTTGACTCTATACAGTTCAATTTCATTTCTTTTTTATAGTAGTTGGATGATTATTTAAACAATTATCGTAAAAAGTTATTGGTTTAAAACATATTTAGTTTTAATTTTTTAAGAAAAATGTTTTATGATTTTGCTGAAAAACCACTTGTAATCTGTCCGCATATGTGTTAGGGAGATAGATATCATTTCACAATTTTTAGAGAAGTTTTATGAGTAATAAATTCAGCAAGAAAGTAAAGAAAATGAAACAGCATGTTGTCATTGGATGAACTATTTTAATAACCACCCACCAACCCATGTATTGTTAAAAATCCATGGTTGCTGCGTAACCAGCCCACTCATGTATAGTAATATTAATGAATGACTGTGGCATTTTTGTGCACTCTCATAGTAACAAATAACACTGTTTGTAATAAATTAGCCTTAATTAAGTTATATGGATTTTAATGACATTTGTTGTTATTTGTAGTTTCATTGAAGAGCTGCATACTCGTTTTTCAAGTAAACATGCTTCAACAAGTGTTCCGGTTCATCTACCAGAAGACGTCTTAGCTGAGATTCTAATAAGATTACCTGTTAAAATCTTGGTACAGTGTAGATTTGTATGCAAATCATGGGCTAAACTGGTAACGGATCCTATCTTTATAAACAAACACCTTCATCTCAATTCACCCACACGCATCATATTCTCTGATAGACAGCAAGTATATCCTATATCTATATCCTTACCTCTTAACCCTAACTCTAATTCCGTTCTCAACACTCAACGACTTCGCCCACCTCTCTGCCCTCATGCATTCCAAGTCAAAAGTTACTGCAATGGTTTGTTCATTATTATAAAGGATGAAGGTCCTATCATCCTTTGGAACCCTTCTATTTCACGCCACAGAGTGCTACCAGTACCAGCCCTACCACCCTCGGAAAATCATTGTTCTCGTCGTTTTTTAAGAGATATTTGTGCTATTGGTTATGATTCTTTAAATGATGTTTATAAAATCATCGTAGCTCCTTTCTCTTATGGCGCATGGAATGTCGAAGTTCTTTCTTTGAATTCCAACTCATGGAGGAAGCTTCCTGATGCCGCCGAATATCCTCCTTATCACGTGGAATATTTTCGTCCTCATCAACAACCTTTATCTATAAATGGTGCCATTTATTGGATTGCAGATGATCATTTCTCCGATGATCATTTCCCTGTGATTGTTCGTTTTGATGTATGTCAGGAGAGGTTTTCGCGTGTGCCACCACCATGGTGTGACACTAGAAGAGGTATATATTGGATTGGTGATATCAACCACTCACTTTGCACGCTTAACTACGATGACGAGAGCTGCACTCATATATGGTCAACACAAGATGATTTCAATTGGGTAAAACTCATCACTTTTTCCAAGATCGTTGAACCTAACCCTCAGAGTCAGACATCATTCCTTTATTATGCTCCTTTGTGTTTCAATGAAAACGGAGAACTACTCATAAGTGTTCGTGGTGCTGGGTGTTCTTTTGATCGAAGGCGTGGTTTGGTTGTTTATGATCCAAAGGAACAAAGTTATAGAAGATTTCTTTTGGAGGACAACACACACTGGATGGAAGAAACTGTGTACAGTGACAGTTTGGTTTTCCCCAATGAGCCCTTAGATAAAACATGTTCTGCTTCTTCTTCGGGCTCCTTTAAGCAAATGATGCTCAACTTTTCACACACCATTTTAAGCCATTTAGTTTGTAATGCTACCTCTAGGAAGAGGTTGTTGTGAATCATGATAAGTTGTTTTCCTTTAGTTTTTTTTTTTGTTTCATTTTCCGTTTAGGGGACAGGATGTAAGGATTGTGTAGCTCCCATCAATTATGTAATGAGCAATGCAAAATTGCCTTATTTATATCTCAAACATGCCTCTCCATACCTTAGTCCTATTTCAAGGTAAATCTGAACTTGTTATGACAGAAAAGTTAAAATAGACATATATAGCATGTTAATTTTATAGAACTTTTTTGAGACAGTAAAAAAATTGTATTTTTTTCAACTTAACACTTGGAAAGTTTTACAAAGATCATCAATCATTATATGAGATGATAAGATTGCATTAATATTTTACTTCATTTTAATTCTATGATTCACTTATAATTTGGCTTCATTTAACATAATAATCATTCAGAGCTGTGATGCTTCAAATATTGTTGGGTGATACAAGCAGTTTCGTGGGAGAAAAAACAACTTCAGCTATCAATAATTCAGCTAGAGGATTCAACATATTGATGAAATCAAAACCAAGTTGGTGAAACACGCTGCAAGGCTCATATTGACGTCGCACTTGAGCTCGTAAGTATTAAATTCACACTTATTGTCTTGTATGTGTTAGTGATGTAGATCTTAGGCTTCAAAACATTTATTAAGATTTAACATAATAATAATAATCTGAATCAGAGAAATTTTAAGATTACCAGGTACTTTGTTAATCTGAGTGCAGTTCTAAATCAATGGTTTGATCCAAATCAGGTCTCTGAGCATGCAGTGTTATCCAATAGCGGTGTCATATTTGCTATGGCGGATATACATGGCGGTTTTAGTCTCGCCACAATGGTAAATATCGGCCGATATTGCTGGTTTTCCGCCATAATCTGCTATAACGGCGCCACAAGTAGCCGGTATGGCAGAATTTCGGCTCTCCGCCATGGACAACACTATGAGCATATCCTTATCCTTAGTGGTTATACAAAGGAGATTTTACAAAAACTTCCTTTTTTCCTATTCTGTAACTAAATTCTTTCTTTTATTTTTATCATAATTCTCAGAGTTTGTACTCATCTAGGTGTAAGCATTGAATACAACCACTGACACTGAGGGTTAAGGATTGGGATGATACACTGGTGGAATACGCTACTGCAATGCTTCTGGACGGGGAATCTAACACCAATGCCTCCAGGCAACATGATTCAATAGATGATACATGTTCCGTTGTGGATTTTGTGAATATCCATCACAAGGGAGAAGTATGAGTGACCTCCATTTTCAGTTTCTTGAATCCTCTATTCCAAACCAATTTGAGGCCATTAAAAATACCCTATAGTTCATCATTCACTACATAGCAATTGCCAATGAAATTGGAATAGCAATTTGACAACCTGATAAATCAGTTACCCCAACTATGGAGGAAATGTGAGAATTCTTAGAAAACAACAATAAATTTGAAATAAAGCCAACTATTAATGTCCAGTGTGCACTACTATAACTTAGAGCCTCACAAGATACATTGTTGCTCGGGTGGTGCAGCGGCTATATAAAGATGAAAGAAGACTTTCCTCTTGAAGATATATTACAAGAGTATGACGCTTTCTTCTCATAAAATGGTGTAGGGGATTGCAATCAAACTTTTGTATAGGTATGTCATAGCCGGAAAAATTATGCAGCTGTATTTCTGCTCCTTATGAGGTTTACTGATAGCTTTGACAATCACATACTCAATTTATGAATAGTTGGCCTTCCCAAACAGGATGTTAATCATGCATTCCACATCTTTTTCCATGATCACACGACCAAAATATTATTGTTGGACCCAGTAGAGACACCATCTCAAAAGGAAAGTATACCACAATTCCAGAGGCGAGTTCCTCTCGGAAAATAAAGAGCATGTAGTGCTTTGGCTATTAACCTGCAGAGAAACGACAATGGATGATAAAGCCAGACCATATCCAATAACTATAGCAGCAGGGCCAGGTATGTCATATCCAACAACTATATTAGTTGTCAAAACCTGCATCTGTTTGTAGTCTTACTTGCTATGAATTGTCAGCTAAGACATCACTAGACTATATCAAAAATAGCTTGAGGTGAACAATAATAACAGGGATGGAAGATGGAAACTGGACATGATTTAATGAGGATCAAACAAAATGTTAGTGCCACTAAGCCAAACTATGTTGTTTAAACTTCACATTACATCCTGTTTATTAAATCTTTAAAATGTAGGGAGTTTTGCAATTATATTGTATTTATTTGTTGCTTAGCCTTATTATTTGTTATCGAATATTATATTATATCTTTACAATATAAATTTAATGTATATGTAGCATTTTATTTATATTTAATGTACTTTTTCAATTGTAATTTAATCTTAAAACAGTTTATAACAAACATGATGGCACTATATAGATGGAAATTGTCAACTAACTACCTAAGAAGCAAACATGCTTTCTTTCTTTTTCAAATTATTACACTACCATTTGAGCCTTTTGGTAATTAGCATAATACCACTCAGTAACCATCTCAATCAGAGACGTGGCAAACAAAGAATGAAACTCCGTATTGCTCTCCCTCTTTAAACCGTGTTGCTATGTTGGAGGGAAAACAAATTTCAAAAAAACCAAATACTCATTCAAGTAAACCAGACTGCTGAACAAATCCATTTTTGTCAAATCCATTCAACATGTAAGTTAACTATTTCCCCATTTATGTATGAAAACCTAAAACCATAACTTCTTTCTTTCTCATTCATACTGATTTTCTCTTCCAAAACCATGATTTCCAAACACCATTTTCAGCTTCCTAACATCCATAACTTTCGAAATGGCACATGGCCTTAAACATATGACAAAGGTTTGCTACTTGTTTTGTTCTTTGCAACTTCCTTTATTTATTTGCAAGTTCATTTCTAAATCAGCTATAACTTTCTCTGGTTCTTGCTAACTTTGGTCTCCATTCATACTTTATAAAACTTTTTCTTTTTTTTTGTAGAGAAATGAAGAAACTTTATTGTTCCAAAATTAAGAAACTTTGTTGTTCCAATATGAAGAAACTTTATTTTTCCAAAATGAAGAAACTTTGTTGTTCCTATTCAATGTTTGTACGTTTATGCAGTCCACTTGTTGCAACCTATTCAATGTCTGTACGTTTATGCAGTCCACTTGTCAAAATGTCAAGACCACCACTTTTCATTGGTGATTTGAAGAAGGGAAATCAGGTTTGGAAAATAGCTATTCATGTGGTTAACCTATGGATCGTAAAAGAGCGTAGTGATCAAGAACATATCGAAATGATTATTCACAATTTAACAACGTACTTTAAATATTATCAAGTGATCTATCTATAGTCAGGGCATATTGTTGTGTTTGTAATCATTAGGTAAATTCACTTCCTTCAATAAATTACACAACTTATATGATGAGCCAAGTTATTTAAATTACCAATTCATTATGCAGTCTTGACTAAATGCTTATGGTTGCTATGATGGAATGAGTCATATGAGAAAAAAAATTGAAGCTATATTTTATAGGGACATTCACCTATGTTGTCTGGTTAGCTCACTCAAAGATCATATTTGGACAAGCCCATAGGAGTTATGAATTTGCATTTAAGGTGGATCTTAGGCTGGACCATTTTGATTGATGAGTATATATTCTAGTTGAACCTGTATAGGTGGTTTTGACCTCTTGACCTATATTGTTTCATCTGAATCAATATGTGGTTGCACCTTATTACTACATATGTTCTCATGACACGTCATTCTTGAACTATATTGGTTTTATTTGCTATTAATGTGTCATAATTTGTAGCTACATAATTACTAAACACTTGCAAACTTTCCATTATGCAGTCTTGCTATTGTTTCTAGCATAAACATGAATAATGGCACTGTGTTTTGATATTTCAAAGCTTTTGAAACTTTTGTTAATACATGTTTGGATATTTCAAAGCTAATGTTTCTTGATATATCTCATGTAATCTAATACATGTTTGGATACTTTTTTCTGCATTTCACTTCCTTATGTTCATGCTGTTCATGTAGCTTCTATCTTAACTTGGAAGATCATGGATGAGGTCAAGCTCAAAAACCAACAAATCAGGTAAAATTCAATTATAATTAGTAGTCAGTTTTTGCTAATCTTTACCGCATTAACAATCATACTTGTACTTTGACTAATACACTTTTTATTTATATTTTAATCTAATTATCTAAAATGTAAATAATCTTGCCCACGCAGATGCACAGGTTTTTAACTAGTTAGCATTATATTCATTTCTTTCTAATTTGATAAAGTCATTATTGAATACACTATTTATTCTCATCATACTACATTCTGCACCATTTAATTCATACAACCATGTCTAGAAATGGTGTGTTTCCAGTAGCATTACTCAGTCTTGACGGAAAGAACTGGAAAACGTTTCACATCCAAATGAAGACTTTGTTTTGATTCCAAGATGCTCTTAATTTTGTGAATTGGGGTGTTCATTCATTATGATAGAATCCTATTGAAGTCTAATGAGCTGCACACTAAGAGGAAAACAAAAGGGATTGCAAAACACTGTTCATGATCCAACAAAATGTGGATTCAAGCAACATTGAAACTATCTCGGCAGCTACAGTATTTAAGGAAGCATGTGACTTTCTGTCAAAGTATTATATAGGTGGTGATATAAGATCAAGAAGGTAAAGGTTTAATCACTTAGAAGGCAGTGAGTTAATGTGAATGGAGGGTGAGGATAAAGTCGTGTCTTATCTTTCTTGAGCCCAATATGTTGTCCATATGATGAAGAGTTACCGCGAGAATCTCTCGTATGAGATGGTGATTGAAAAGATTATGAGATCACTCATTTCTAAAATTGACTACATTATAGTTGCAATTGAGGAATCCAAAGATATGGGTTCAATGAAGATAGAATAAATTCATAGTTCATTGGAGGCAAGAAGTACATGCAAACATAAAAGAAAACAAGCAAATCAAGCATTCCATGAAAGATTTGCAAAGAATGATAAAG